TTGGCATGGTACAGTCAGGTACCTAGTGTAGTGTGTGTGTGTGTGTAGAGTAATTGTCTTGATACTTAGCAAAGTCGACGTCATTGTCTTTGCTAAGAGACGCTAATTGTATCCGAACGTATGCGGTTCCTCCGGTAAGTACCGATCGCATAAGGATAGAAATGATTTTCATTCATTAATTTTTAATAAACGAAAATTTCTCCACCCAGATGAGATTCGAACTCACGACCTTTAGGTTTAAAGGTAGGTGCTCTTACTACTGAACCGCAGAGGGATTTAATAAGCATATTTTAACTTAAAATAAATAATAAATTACATCTAAACATGTTTCAGATTACTTTTAAAACACCCTGCAGATTTTAAATACCCAGCTATCCAGCTTGGACGTTTTAATAAATTTAATAATATTTTGTATAAGTATTTTGTGCATTTTCAGTCATAATTGTATCCAAGTTGTCTTATCTTCAACATTATTTAATAGTAGATCATAGGTCCAAATATATAGGTAACATGGTCGCTGAATAGTGATTTAAAATATTTCATGAAATATTAGAAAGAGTATTCCACCATCTTGATTACGTTATCATTACCATAGATTACAAATTTGCTAAAATTAATATTTCAGCTAATCTTTTAATGACTTTTTCACATATAAAATTCTATATATTTATTTTATAATAAAATTTCGTCGTCATGTAAAAAAAAATCAACATTAAATATTTTAATCAACTTTTAAAATCTCAATTTTTTTACCAAACAATATTAGATAAAAATAGGTATATAATACAAAGTTACAAATACCCAATTTTTCCTACATTTAAATGGTAAATTTTGATACAATTTCTTAATAACTTTATTGTGTACAATTTAAAATATGGTATCAAGTAATAGGTTATATTTATATTTATTTTTTTAAAAATCAATTACACGTTTATCACAGAACTTTTTTAAACAAAAAATCCACGTCAAAGTTGTAATAGTTCATGCATTTGATATTACCGATGACTCTAAATTCCTTTTATTAGATTACATTCAGAAACTAATACTTTACTTTTATGAAATTGTTTACTGAATATTATAAATTACGATATCACGAACTTTGAAAATAAATTAAGAAAAGTAAAATATAACTGTCGAAACCGTGTTATTTAGCTGGTAAATTAATTTTTATATATATGTAAATGTTATATGTAAATATTTTATGTAAAACTAATAATAAAAGATCCAAAAATGAAATTTTTTCTTCACTTTTCGTGTTTGAAATAATTTTTCAGTGAAACAATAATTTTTTTTATGTAGAAATCATAATGTTTTAGCTCTTTTAATTATAAATTAAACGAGACGTTGTAAGATTCGATTGGCCAATTCCTCTTCAGGATAACTATATTTGTTTATAAAAATTCTTAAAACTTTATAAATAATTTTGCAGGACTTTTTTTATAAAAAAGTTGAAAAAAGTTCTGGTCCTGCAAAGTTATTTATTAAGTTTTAAGAATTTTTATAAACAATTAAACTTCTTTTCTTTTTTTTATAAAAAAGATAGGGGACGAGGAAGAAGCGTCCACGATATCAATTGTGCCACATCAACTACAAAATAAACACTATTGACGGCGTCCTCTGTAAACGTATACTAGTAGATGGGCAATCCTTCCAACACCAGACCAAACCAAATCAGATGGCAAACATCAAGCCATAACGCTTCTTCTCAGAGCCAAAATTGACAGTAGAGAGCATAAATATCGAGGGCATCACTACACCTAAACAAGACATCTAATACTATAAAGATAATCACCACTGAGATCAGCAAATGGACAATAATCTCGGTGTACAAGCCCCCAAATCAGCCTTTTATATTTTCACCCCAAACTAACTTCCAACCACAACCAAATCAGCTTATACTGCGAAACTTTAACAGTCACAGTTTACTCTGGGGCTATGCAGACTCGGACGCAAATGGAGACGCAGTAGAAGCATGGGGCGAAACGAGTAGCCTCACGTTAATCCATGATCCTAAACTTTTACCATCTTTTCAGAGCGAAGTTTGGAAAAGAGGATATAACCCGGATATCTGTTTTTCAAGCAACAACCTCGAAGACCGATGTACCAAAGTAGTATATGGCCCCATACCAAAAACTCAGCATAGATCAATTGGTATAAATATCTTCCCAATTGTCAGACCAGAAGCTACTCCATTCAGAAGGAGATTTAACTTCAAAAAGACAAACTGGCAAAAGTATGCAGACATGCTAGATTCTGAACTACTACGCCTTGAACCAAAATTAGAAAACTACGGAAAATTTGTAGAACTACTCAAAAGGGTCTAGAAAAGCTATCCCCAGAGTATGTAGACAACAATATATTCCCGGCATCTCCAGTGAGTCCAAAGAACTAATGAGAATATACAAAACGATCTGTTCCACTGACCCTTTTAGCCAAGACATGGTTGACTGCGGAGCAGTACTGCTCCAACAGCTAAGCCAAGCCAGACAGGAAAAGTGGATTGAGGCCCTGTATAATGTGACTACATGCAACATAGTAGCAAAATAGCATAGAACCTTGTAAAAAACATAGTGGTGATCCAAAAAACCATAAACGACCTTGCAAGGTTACAGCAAACTAATTCGCTGCTCAACTCCTTATGAATTTAATAACTACGAACCGCTATAAGAACCCAAACACTGGGAGAATATTGAATTCCGAGACAAACCACCTAGGAATTCCTTTTACACTAACAAAACTCCACGATGGTATAATCAGGTTAAAAAACGGGAAAGCTACGCATGTGGATGATTTATGCGGTGAAGAAATAAAGCATCTAAGCCAAGGAGCAAAAAATTTGATCTTGCAACTTTATAACACGTGCTGTTTAGCCTGCGAAATTCCAAAATCATGGACAAAATCTAATGTAATAGTCTCCGCACTAACAGAACACATTGAAGGGAGCTTTAAAGAAAAACTTATAACAGAGGCTGCTTTTGTAGATTTGATAGCTGTCTATGACCCAGTAATGCACAAAACATTGCTCCGCAAATTATATCTATCACACCAATGACCACCATCTGGGTAAGATCGTATATTCCTTACTGCAAAACTACCTATCCACCTATCTACTAAAGTAGATAGGTGGAAAGTTAAAAAAAACGGCCTCCCACAGGGAAGTGTTTAAGCACCACTGCTCTTCAATATAGACACAAACCGAAATCAAGCTCTTTCTCTACGCTGACAATCTTGCAATATGTGCTCAAGGAAATAGTTTTGAAAAAGTGGAGAAGAAACTCGAAACCGCCTTAAAAACAATGACAGCGTACTACCTGCAGAATTCCCTGAGACCCAATCCCTCTAAAACCCAAGTCTGCGCTTTCCACCTTCGCGAAAAGGAAGCCAAGCAAAAACTCCAAACTGCATGGAATGGTAATTCATTAGAACACTCAAACCAACCTATATATCTTGGAATAACTCTACACGGGTCCCTCAACTACAGAAAACCTTGCATAAAAACGAGAGAGAAAGTAACTCCTAGGAACAGCATACTCAGAAAGCTAACAGAAAGTAAATTGGGTGCACGTCCTGACGCTTTAAGAATAACGGCACAGGCACTGTGTTTCTCAACTGCTGAATATGCGCGCCCCGTTTGGGGCAGATCTGCCCACACCAAACAAGTTAATACTGCGCTAAATGAGACATGCAGAACTCTCAGCACAAGAAAAGCGTTGCAAAGCACAGAAAGGAAATTAATTAGATAGCGGACGAGCGACATGCCCCAGAAAAAGCGTCCTTGGAACAGTACAGGATGATGGTGCAGAATAAGTTGTAAAGCATGTTCACTTTGAGACAGTAGTATTTGGGTATAGCAGATTATTTTAAGTTGTTTTTCTCCCATTTGGTATCCTTTTAGTTATAAGTATAATATATAAAAGGAAAAAACCGTTATATTCTTTATAAAAAAGCGGAGTGGATCGCTACAAGAATGATCCAACCATATAAACCATGTTGTCTCTGTGCTTCTATTTCAAAGCAAATAATAAGGAGTAGAAAATGTTTTTGAGTAACTATTTTTATTGCTACATAAAAGCATAATCGACCAAGAAGCGAATCTGTTTAAAATTACATCTTTATCTTAAAAAAAAGTTCTGGCCTGCAAAATTTATAAACATTTAAACATTTTTATAAACAATTAAAAATATCTCAAAAATTAATTGACCGATCGGATATTTGCTTATTCTTATGTATATTATATTTGCTATAAGTCCCTTTTGCTTGTTATTAAAAGAGCTACAATGTAATGGTTTTTGCATAAAATAGAAGAATGTTTACAAAACTTTTTTCAAAAATAAAAAATGATGAACAATTGACATTTTTGGACTTTCAAATTAATTTTGCATAAACTATTCGGTCAAATTTAATATAACATGCTTGGAGATTACTCCAGGCACTGCCCTTTATAGGTCATTGTAGCTTGGGCTACAAAGCCAGAGTTAAAGTGGATAATGTTACAGTTATACCATCTAAATTTTGACAAAAATATACAAAAGACAAAGACCGTTCTAAATTCGATATATATATATATATATATATATATATATATATATATATATATATATATATATATATATATATATTCATGATGTGAATGCAAATATGTACTTCAGTTGTGTCAGAAATTTAATTGAATTATTAAAAATTTCAAATACAAGAAAACTCAACATCAGGACATAAATAATTAAATGTTGAACAAATGTACTTATATTTAAATTATAACAGTAGCATTTGTAAATTTTATATACCCGAAACCAACAGTATCCCATAAGTAAAATAAAAGATATTCGTTATTATTTGGATAAATCAGTCTAACGCAGTTTTTAAATTTTAAGGTAATTAAATAGCAAAATCTTAATTACTGGAATGTCTCTGAATGCAATCTACCCGGAATTTAGAAAGCACAGTATATACTTTATGATGTTCATGAAATGATTGTCTTCTATACTAAAATGTCCTAGTCTTTAGTTGCTGTAGTCGAAAGACTCCATTTCTGAAAATCGGGAGTCTTGTTTTTGCAGTCTTTGTGTGCATTCCTTCAAATAGGAATCTTGTATCCTGTACATGCCAGAATTGGCTTGGAACATTAAGGTTTCCAATATTCGCTCATTTTTGATAGCTTTTGATGGTAACACAACCTGGAAAACATTGAAAATGATATCAAATTTTCCCCACAAAAAGATTTTGATTAATCGATATGTTAACACAAAGTTGATTTTTAAAAGAATATTCTAGTACTTATTTAGGAAACTATTTTCCACTTTCCTTTGGTATGTTAGTGCTAAATGAATTTTTAGCTTTTCTACAAATATTTATACACAGCTAATATATAGAATTCGTGCCTTTTAGTATGTAATACGCCACCATTAACGCGTAATAATGTAATGTAACAGTATAGTGCCTAATATAAAGCAAATTACAGAATTCTATTGAAAGATAGAGACATTTCAAATTTTGGTGGTCAAACAGGACTGACTTTATCTCTCTGAGAGTTATTTTTCGACCTACCACTACTTGACGAGCTACAATACCTGGCGAAACATTTCATATTTTTGTCAATAAAATATATAAAATATATGATGTCAATAAAAGTCACGTAAACTTCTATTTTTAAAATAATATTTAAAAAACATATTCAATTCTACTAAGATAACTTACCTTGATGAGCTCCTGTGGAGTTATCCTATACAGCTTAAGATCCCTAGCTAGTCTTTCCATTATACACTTAAATTCTAACTTGGCATCGAGTTTACTAGAAGTCTTTGTACGAATTTTGTGCCTTGCCCATGCCAGCATAGCTTCGAATTTCAGGACTTCAGCTACTTCCAGATTCCTGTAAATTTCAAAATGTTAAAGATAAATTGTGATCATTTAAATACCAGCAATGAAACGCAAACATTTTGCAATATAGGATATTTCATAAAATACATTAATTTCCAGATATATAATTAGCAATCACTTCAAACTTTCGACTTAGATACCTATAAGATAAGAATAATAAGGTTTATCCAGTTATCGTAAAGTTAATTATAATATTATCAGACAATTACTAAAATCTGTTGCCGTTTAATACACCACGTGATCTTTAGCAGAAAAACAGGTAGTTTATAGGTACCTTTTGGAACCTCCACCAGTTATATAATATTGTTGAAAAAATTTCTGCTAGAAATGGTGACAGCTTGACTATTACTGCGGAAAAAGTTTCGAAACTGTTTGGTGTGTGTTCGCAAAATGTATGACATCCGCGAAGAGATCCAGCAAGGCGAACTGAAATCGATACAAAAAAGGAGAAAAACAGTTTCTAATCCAAGTCACATGAGAACACTTATTATGAGGGAGTGAAATCATAAATAAAAAAAATTGTCCATGATTTTTTTTAGAAAACATACCACCAACCGTCGACATCGTAATGAACAGAGTGAAGGATGATGAGAGCCTACCACCTTTTTCAAAAACTACATTTCGTAGGCTACTAAATGACATGGGTTTTGAATATGGTAAAAGAGGTCGAGATTCGATAATTATCGAAAGAAAAGATCATATCTTGGAGACACAAGTACCTCAAAAAAAATAAAATCATTAAAGAAGAAGGGTAATATAAACTTGTTTTGATAAGTCTTGGACTAACGTCGGTGCTTCAAACAAATAGAAATAGAGGGATACAATGATCAAGAATCCACGAGATATCTTCACAAAACGGATCTCTACTGTACTGAAAGCTCCAAACAAAAACGTCCTTGGTTTGTTTATCTTTATGCTGTAAGCAAAATTGGTTTTGGGGAGTATAGACAGGGATCTATATGAAGAATGGTTTGAGAAGACGTTAATTCCAAACTTACCGAAAGACAAATAACGCGTTATACATCTCCTGAACATTTGATTTCTCAAGAAAATTGTGAAACAAAAGGCAAATCAAGGATTGGCTAATCAAAAAGAACACTTTCTTCGAGGAAGATTATCTAAAAAGTGAATTACTGGATAATGCTGTCGCATTCTACATGTCTACAACTAGAATGAAACAATATGCACTGATTACCTCTTGATATATTTGTATGTATATACATACAAAATATTCATGAAGATAATAACAAAACGGCTTGTGAACAAACTAGATAGTTACCAACCTTGTGAACAGGCTGGGTTCCGCTCCAGATATGCAACAAATGATCACCTGCAAGTTGTAAAAACGCTAATAGAAAAGTGTACAGAGTATAACAAGCCTATCTTTTTTATATTCGTAGATTATGAAAAGGCGTTCGATACTATAGATCATCATAAAATGCTTCGAGCACTGGCTGACTGCCGCATTGACTACCGATATATTGCCTTGATTGTAAAAGTATTTACGAAACTGATACAGCTTGTGTCCGCCTTCATGAAGATACCAAGAAGTTTCGAATAGAACGTGGAATTAGACAGGGTGATACTATCTCCCCTAAATTGTTGACAGCTGTTCTTAAATATATGTTTAAGCAAATGGAACGAGAGGATAATATGGGAATTAATATAAATGGTGAAGATCTGAACCACCTAAGATTTGCCGATGACACCATTTTAATATCTGATAGAGTTGATAAAGCTACAAAAATGCTGCACATGCTCTATAAAGTGTCAAAAATAATTGGTCTTAAAATTAACACCTCAAAAACAAAATTTATGACCAATTTTGTAGTCAGCAGTAAAATTCTGATTGAGAGCCATAGCATCGACCAAGTAATAGCTTAAAAATATCTAGGGCATGAGATTCGCCTAGGCCGAGATAATCAGACAACTGAAATACAAAGAAGGATAGGTCTCACATAGGCTGCCTTTGGTAGATTGAATAAAATTTTTAAGTCTAGTATCCCAGTTTGTTTAAAAAGAAAGGTTTTTAACCACGGTTCTTACATATGGTGCAGAAACACTGACTCTGACAAAAAGAACAATAGATAAACTAAGAGTTACACAACGTGCTATGGAAAGATCAATATAAGGTATTACCATCAGAGATAAAGTACCAAACCTAGAAATAAGAAGAAGAACAGGAGTCACAGATGCAGTTGAAAAAATAGCCAGGGCTAAATGGGCTTGGGTCAGACATGTTGCCAGATTAACGGATGACAGATGGACCAAAAAGATTCTGGAATGGCGACCAAGGTTAGATGCATATCGAAGCAGAGGACGACCACCGACTAGATGGAAACTGGATGCAAAAAGCTCAAGACAGAAATAGGTGGAAAATTTTAAGGGAGGCCTACGTTCAGCAGTAGACAAACATAGGCTAATTGATGATGATGACCTCTTGATATTACTTCTGAATTCGATTACTATCAGCTTGAAATCAGTTAATTATAAACTTTACCTAATAATTTAAAAGAATTAAGTTTTAAACTACAAGAGACCACACACTACAAAAACTATATCATGCTTTAAGAAGTGGAAATGCTAGGGATAGATTCAATGTTTAATAGGTATAATTTTCATTACAAGAAAATTTTATTTTTCGGCAACAAATGATGGTAATTTTTGGCATAGTCAAGATAAAGATTCTGACAAGAAGATACTGCTGGTGGCCAGGAATTTCTAAAGACATAGAAGATATATTGCAAAAATTTTACAGACTGCAACAAAATTAGGAATAATCCAGAAAAAGCGGCAGTACACCCATCGGAGACGGTTAGAATCCCTTTTAAGGAAGTACATGTAGATTTTGGAGGCCTTTTTTATAAACTCGTACTATTTTATTTTATGTAACAATAAAACACTGCAAACTTTGTTTTCAAAACCTGAGAAACCACTACTTGAGAAAGGCAATCAGCCGTAACAGCTGTAGTGATAAGATTTTATAATAAATTTTTGCGGAAGTTTTGAAAACAAAATTTCCAGTGTTTTATTATTACATAAAATGAATTTCCGTCAAGTAACGGTCGAATCCATCAATTATTTTATTTTAGTTGATGCTAATACTTGGTTGCAAAAAATACACTAAAATAAAAATACACTAAAAATGCAATAAAAAATTGATTTGACAAGTAAAAATACCATAAAATTTCTAAGAAATTTTTTAATTTTCTCCAAATTTAGTTGTCCATATCATCCAGCTATAAACGGCGTGGTAAAGAGGTACGTACAAACATTCACACAAGCATTACAAGCACAAAAAGAATATATTAATGAAAGGACGTTACAGCTCAACAAATTCTTACTAAATTATAGACGAACACTATACAGTACAACTGGTATAAGCTCAATAAATCTGATATTTGGACGAGAGATTTGTACACGCTTAGATTTATTGAAATCTCTGGGGGTGAACACTCATGATTATATACATGCTCATGATTATATACATACGTCAAATTAAACAGCACCATCTTCTAGTTCAGTCACTGAAAATAACGATGTATGTGGTTCAGATATACTAACTAACTGGATTACCACAAATACTAGTCACAAATCTCTTTCAATAGGCCTGCGGCTGGCTCAGATGACGGCGCCGTACTACGTAGGTCTCAACTCGCAATTAAAAAACTTGTAAGGCTAAAGTTGTAAGTAGTATGTGTTATGTTTTCAATTAACCTTATTAGTTTAGCATTACATTAGGCGGATGAGAATATTATCAAAGAATAATAGGACGCATGTAGAAGGACCTTTCACTGTCATTTTTTTAGCAAAGGTTTTTACACACGTTTTAAAAAAGCAGCAGTCGTTGATCAAGATTTTAGTTCCTTAGGTGTACCACTAGGGTCCGGTCATGTCAGCGTTATTATTGCTTCTAAAATATGAGAGAGTGGGGTAACAAATGCAACTTTAGATATTTTTATATGTAGATGCCGCTTGGTCGTAGAATAGCATTAAATTTTTGCGTTTTATGACACATAAAAGTCTTCAAGAGAAAAACCCCAAAAAATTATAGGCGTTTCGATCAAAAAACAATTCCTGATGTTGTTAGTACACTAGAATTGATTTTTAGCACATACATCAAAGAATTATTTTTTACAATTTAAAAATTCGAAATTGTAAAGTACAGTTTCGGATTTGTAAAGCAAAAAAAATAAATAAGTAAGTAAGTCTCAAATAAAGCCTCTATACAGCTCAACAAAGAAAGATGAGAAGAAAAGGCAAAAATGACTACTGGGACATGGACCATAGCAAATCTCAAGAAAATCAAATCAGCAACACCAGAGGATAAAAAGAGACTTCGAAATAATATCATCATCCCCCTCGTAACAGAGTTGCTAAGAAAACAAGGGGCTCTAACGAGCACACTAGATCATAAAGCACCGTGACAAAAGTATTAAGAATGGTGGTAGCACACAGACACCATTGTGATACTCAACTAGATCGGGCTCAAGCAAATTTGATCATTAACAAACTGGAGTAACACTTGATAAGGCTCTTATCGGAGGTCAAAATAAACTCCTGTAGTTCCATAAAATATCGTTTAGCGAAGGGAACCTGTGGGAAAACTGTGTTAATAAGTATACAAAAAAATTAACGACTAAAGTGGTGAAGACTATTGAGGGCCTGTGGGAGCGAGCAAACTTAAATATAATTAATCCAAATAATATTCTCTAGGGCCCCATGGTTCTCACATGGGTCTTCGAAAAAAAGCTTAATGAAGAAACTATCAGGATCGGTTTAAAGAGGAAAAATCAAGACCTTAACACAGAAGACTGGTTGTCACCTCTGTTCCACAGACTGAACGATAGTGAAGATAAGAGTCATAGAGGGAGGAGTCATGAAGAAGATAGTTGTCAGATCAGCATACCTTTCATATAATGATCCCGAACAACCATCAGAGGAGTTGGAACAGCTAGTGCGAGATTGCATGAAAAATAAACTGAAATTAATCATTGGCTATGATACGAATGCCTATCATCTGACCTGGGCTAGTACAAATACTAAACTGTTAAAAAATGGCATGCCTTAAACGAGGTTTTGAGAAAATGAAATATTTGGTTGAATATATTTTGAAAATTTTTTAAAATGTTTCGTAAATTTTGGGGCACGAAAACAGTATAATAAAAAGTTACGTGACGGTTTTTTGTAGTGTTGGAGCCAAACTATTTTTAATTCAAAGTTATAAAATTTTATTTACATATAATAAAAAAAAATAAATACTTTGAATATTGTAAATTTAATACATTTCTAAGTTTTAACATTACAAATTGAACTATTTAGTATATAAAAAATTAAGTTTTTATTGTGAAAAAAAAAAGACAGTGTGCAAATCAATTACATCCAAATTTTAATTAAGGGTGGATGTATAAGCTAAATAAATAGCTTCGTTCGTATTCCTATCCCACTTCTCCTAACTATATCTTTCATGATGGTTTTAAGCCGACGGCCACCGTTTGAGTTTATGCAGTCACCCAATTAGAGAGTGTTTTAAAATATAATAACCGTAACCAAATTGCCCATTTGAACTGCCCTTCTATATGCGTCTAAATTCTTTGGTGTTATATATTGTACATATTTCTAATATATATGCACTCTGACATTGATGTATGTGAAGAAATTGACCCACTACTTTTTTCTTACAATCAGTAATTTTGTATCTATTCTTAATTTGTAAAATAAGGCAATACAGCATTACAACAACATACAGAACAGTTTCAATATGACATTACATCTACATATACAGCAATTACCATATACTAGTTAGCAAATAAAGATTAAAAAATACATTACCTGCACATAATCATCTGCACCATCGATTCGCTTAGATTGAGAAATTCGGTAGTTTGAAATAAAGTAGAAGCTCTCGTTTCTACAAAAGCTAATATCATATTAACAAGTTCAGAGGCCGAAGTATACCTCCAATAATAATTCTCTAACGAACACAACATACAACACACAACTTCTATTCTTAAAAACTGTTTGGCGTGGTGAAAACATGCTTGCAGAAGTTCCGGTAAATCATAGTGCTCAGCTGCACAAATAAGACCGGGAATGGTGGAACATGTAAGAGGACACGACCCTGTATGAAGATAATCCAGAAGAACTCGAAACGTCTCAGCATCGAATTCAATAATGGAAAATTCAGTCTGGGCAAGTTTCGCTCTATCCACTTTCTGAGCATCCGCACACACGCTCAACCTTGGAACGGGCAGTTGAGACAACGAAGGTTTATCCTTTCCATCCTTGTCTTTACCGTCTTTATCTAAAAAATATACAAATTAATAAGTAATATTCAACAGAATACCTATAATACTTGAACAGTCTTGGCTGCTAGCCCATTTCTTTTTGTCCTCAGCAGAAAGCTGCTGAGCATTGTGTTTTCTTATAGATCTACCCCAACCAGCTGTAATCGTTCCTAATCTTGTGAAGGCCCGTTTTACCATGGGAGAGCTAGGTACGCTCTTTGGTCGCGGAGATTCTATGTCTGGAACCTGAAGGAAGTTACTACTTTTAGGTCGAGCTTGTTGAGGACTGAGTAGTGTAGGAACAGGTCTAGCTAGAAGTTCTGCTACAGGGACTTGCGGAGATCCAAATCCTGTTTGAATACCATAAAGCATTTCCTGAAAGACTCGACTCCGAACCTAAAACAATATTGGTTTAAGATAAGAAATTAGTTACTTTGATAGATTTAATAACAAAATTCTTTATTTGTTTAACAATTTAACTTGGTTTTTAACCTGAACACAGATTTTTTAATTTATATATAGACGTTTTCATCTTTCTTGGCGTGTGAGTGTAAAAACACTTGCCATAAGTTGTTTCATCTGTCTTTCCTTGTCTAAGCTCGATTCGTTTACCTCCTCCAGTGGTAGCTATCTGTATTCGTAAAGAGGCCGAACTTATCACCGACACCGTATCGGCCAAACGCATCGGTGTTATTGCTACAATACTGGGAGACGTGAGTGGTCTCTTCATTCCCTTCTCATTGCACTTTACTATGACGAACGTGACTCGCACAATTGAATTAGGCATCTGTGTATCAGAGAGAGACGAATATTAAAAATTCTGTAGTAGCTTACTTCAGGCACACGCCAAGAACGATAAAACCGAGTTTATATAAATTTACGCAACATTCGTTTTTAATCTAGCCCTTATTCAAAATAGTTACTGCAAAAGTCACATCAATAGAAGCATTCACAGACATTAGTCTCTCAATTTCTAATTACATTCTGATATACAAGTCACAAAATTGGTTTTAAAAACTCCAGAACCATAGCCCCAATCCATTTCTATTAACCAAAAATTATCCGAGAAGCCAAAGAAATTGAAAAAAGGTTAAATTGTCTTAATAAAGAAGATAACGGTATCCGGTTACTTTTGACATATAGACCACTTATAAAGAAAATATCGTCCGCTCCACGCTCCAATCAAAATCCCGCCGTCATGAATATTCGCGATAACCCCCACGCCCAAACCACGTCACCATCGACGGTAATGAACCCCCCGCTGTTCCCAGTAGCAGTGGGGTAGTGATAAGTGATCAGTGTAGTAGTTTCTGGGTACTGGGGAGACTGAGAACTTGAAAGCCCTGAAGAAGACATCAGATATTTTTTATTAAGTATTAATCCTAGCTTTAGGTTTAAATGTACTAACCGCAGAAATCATTCCAATACATGACCAGTAATAATATTGTCTGCCCTGAAATATACAAAACAACCCTTTTAACCGCTCCCCCTTGGATGTTCAGAAAACCTTTCCTAGACTTGAGTTTAACAAAGACTAGTAATCAACTTTATGCTTCCTCTATGGTTAAACAATTTTACAGTAAAATTGATGAGTACCAAAATTACCAACATATTTTTACTGATGCCTTCAAATCAGAAATAAAGTGAGATGTGCCCTCATACACAACAACTACACTAATACATACAAAATCTCAAATTTTAGTATAGTATATACAGGAGAACTATTCGCAATCTACAAAGCTTTAGAATATGCACTGACTGCCAACTTGACAGGTGCCTAATAATGACAGATTTCTTAAGTTCCATGAGTAGCTTAGACACCATTTACCCAACTCATTCATTGTGGCGATTGATAAAGAACCATTTGTACCAACCTCAGCAAAAGAATGCGATTGTAAAATTTATATGGATTCCGTCATATATAGATATACATGGTAATGAAAGAGTAGATGCTGCTGCCAAATCTTCAGTTAACAACGAATACTTGACAGAACCTACCTATAAGAAAGATTTTCATCACTGGATTACCTCGACATTAAAAGAACGGTGGCTTCAAGAATGGAATCAATCTTAACAAAAAGTAGTAAGCATAAAAAACAACAGTTACAAGATGGAAGAATAAGTGTAGCAACAGGAAAGGCCAAACTATAATAAACAGACTGAGATTAGGACATACACGCTTAACACATGAATACCGTGTTATTGGAAGTCTTCATCCAATGTGCGGTAAGTTTTTCAACAGTTTAAGAGTCCAACATTGGTCAATCGAATGTCCTGCATATTCAAATGAGAGGAAAAAGTGTAACCTTCCTACAACGCTACGCGAGTGTCTAGAAGAAAACTGTGTCTATATACTTTTAGTTAACGAGCTAAAACCTTATAAGAAATTCATCATCATCATCTTTGGCTCGATAATCCTCTGTGGATCTTGGCCTGCTCTAAGATTCGTCGCCATTCTGTTCGGTTTTTGGCAACATGTTGCCATCTTCTGATTTTTAATATTCGTAAGTCGGTTTCTACTCCATCTAACCACCTTCGCGGTCGGCCTTTGCTTCTTTTTCCTACAGGTGTTCCTGTGGTTAGCTTTTTAGCAATGGTATTTTCTGACATTCGTATTATGTGTCTAGCCCATCTAAGTCGCTGTGTTTTAATGAACGTTATGACATGTGGCTCATCAAAGAGCTGATACAATTCAAAATTATATCTTCTGCGCCACTGCCCTTGGTCGTTTACAGCTCCAAATATTTTGCGGAGTATTTTACGCTCATTATAAGAAATTAAATTATTTATAACAATTGTTTAATCAATTGGATCGAAAACCACCCTCAAAATTCGTAATAAGCAGTCAAAAATTTATTAAAAAAAACTGGGGTGGACGCATTAGAAGGTTGCCTGATTTAAAAGAAAACTATCAAATTTTTTTAATAAAACGGTATACTCATATCCTGAAGATAATAATAATGACAACTAACGAAACAGTCATTTAGCTTGACAATATTGGAATCACTGGTAAATGTTTCACAATATAATTTCTTACTTACCCCTAATATTGCTCTAACTCCCACCAATTTCACCTTTTGTTTTGATTGACCTACAAGGAAAGTCACATCAAACAATTGTGCATTTGTTAATGTATTAGATTCATTGTTCAAAAACATTCTCGTAAAGTCTTTAGCAATTTGATCATAATCTTCAAATTGATCGCGAACACTATCCAGTAAAGGTGAAGACGGTCTCATATGTCCAATTGGTCTCCAAGAGCCTAAAATCATAAAAGTAAACGTTAGCAATAATCTTTTGTCTCATAATCTCAAAATAGAATTTAAATGCGTTTCTTTATTTCAAGTGATAGCATCAACCACGTGGGTAATTACGTATCCTACGTTAAGTTAAATGGTCCGAATTTTTGATATTTGAACTACCACCATATATAGTATGTCAATAAATTATTTAATCACCATTCTTTTATTACGTGTCTATATAATAATGGTAAGTTTAATTATTTTTTAAGGTTGGTAAAAATACCTTTATGGTATTTTTGTTGTTACCTACCTGTACAACATTTTCTTTGGTAATTAAATAACTTGTTTTTTATGTTAATTATTTATGTGATTGTTTAAACATACAAACGATGAGGAGATTTCAGATGCAAATAAAGAAATTTTTAGAAAGAGTATGAGAGTAGTAAATGGATAATCGTCCAAAAGTTACTCGATAAAGATTATCTTATAATAATATAACGTGGTTATTTAAAAAGGACTTGGCAACAGTATGTGTGTGTGGTAATACGTCAAAATTATTTCGCTCTAAGAATAAGTCGAAATATAGTGGTTATAAATTAAAAAAATATACACAGAAAGTAGCATCGACATAGAAAAAAGTGCAGTGAATAGAAATCCATAAGTTAAACTGTAAAAACACATAATAAATAGCGTAAACAACTAAAAAGTAAGCGAACATTTCAGTTTAATAAATTTGACAATTGACAGTTAAGGAATCCTCAGGTCACGGAATACAGACAGATAAACGGCGTCGTTGCTGGATTGTGAGAGAAATCTGCGGAAGTAAGTGTGTCAAAAATAGTTAACTTCTAATTTTTGAGATTGGATAAAAGCAAAGTCTTCCGAACCGTCGAGGTGAGAAAGCTTTTAACGCTATCCTAGAGATTTAGAAAAATAATCTATAGTTGAAAAAAGAAAAAAGATAAAGGAAATGATGAAAAAGATAAGTGAAAAATTAGATTGTATGGATAATAGAGGTATAAGAATAGAACAAAAACTAAATTAAGTGCAAAATGATTTACAGATCATGAAACTGGAAATCGCAGAATTAAAAGCTGAAAATATAGCATTAAAATCAGAAAATAAAGTACACGAAAAAAGAATAGACGATCTAGAAAGAGAAGCAAGAAAGAAAAATATTATAGTATATGGTATAACAGAAAAAAAAGTGAACAAGAAACTGATATGATAAATAGTATAAAAAATATGGCAATTAAAATCTAAGTTCCACTAAATGAACACACAGATATAAGAGATATATAAAACGCGTTGGTATCCAACGAGATCCCCAGCGACAGTTACCGAGACCTATACTACTGGAACTTAAAAGCGGTTCCAAAAGAATAGAAATAATGAACCAATCGAAAAGACTTAAAGGAACTGACATTTACCTAAGTGAAAATTATTCCAAGGAGATACAACACCAGAGAAAAATACTAAAACAACACTTAAAAGAAGTAAGAGAAAGGGGTCAGAAGGTTACTCTAAATTATAATAAGCTAAACATAGATGACAAAACATATACTGTGGAAAGCTTAGAATACAAGAAGATACAAAGCGAAACGATGAATACCTCAAGGAAAATCCAGAGGAAGAACATATACTGAAAGATCACCAGGAGATGACGAAAATAAATCAGAAAATATGGCGAAAATAACCAAGACCGCGAATAATACTGGCACAAAGCCAAAAAACTGGGATCGTATGTAAAAGTAGCACATAGTAAAGAACAAACGACTAGTATCACTAAAACATCCCGGCAAACGAATATGGTAAACCCGTAAATGGAATGTAAAAAGACTTTAAAGAAAACGGAGAAAACCTAATGACAAAGACAAGAGAGATAGAAAAAGAAAAAACAAGAAGAAAAATAGAGTAAAAGTAGGAACCTGGAACGTTTAAACATTATGGAGACCAGGAAAATGGAAGAGGTAGTAAGAGTAATGCAAGGATACAGAATAGACACACTAGCACTACAAGAAGTACGATGGAGAGGAGAAGGAAATATTAAAAATAAAAAATACACAATATACTACACGGGAGAAAACAAGCAATGGAAAAACGATACAGCATTCATAGCTAACAATAAGATTAGAGACAAAGTTATATAATTTAAAGCGATAAATGGACGAATGTCATATACAAAAATAGAAAACAAACAAGCCAATATGACAATCATAAACCTATATGCACCCACAGAAAATGCACCAGAAAATGATAAAATTGAATTATATAAACAACTGGAAGAATTATATGAAAGGTTACCGAGAAATGATACAGTCTTAATGATTGGTGACTTCAATGCAAAAGTAGGCAAAGAAAACTAGTATAAGAAAGTAGCAGGAACAGAAACTATTCATGACGAGTCAAACGACAACGGAAGAAAATTATACCAAATAGCAGCAATAACAAACATTTACATTATAAGCACAAATTTCATGCACAGAAGAGAGCATAAAGTAACATGGTTGATACCTGGCACAACAGATGGAAATCAGATAGATCACATACTTACATCCAACACATGGAAAGCAATAATGCACGATCTCAGATCATATAGACGAGCAAACGCAGACAGATCATTTTCTAGTAATAAGAGAACTCAAAATGAAGATAATTCAAGCAGAGAGAACAAGACAAAACAAAAGAAGATAAAATCTGAAGAAGTTAAAAGTACAGGAACTAAGAAAACAATATAAGACAACCCTAGAGGAAAATCTAACAGAAGCAAATAACACAAAGGAGATATGGAAAAATATAAAATAATCCATTTTGAATTCAGCTGAAGAGGTGCTAGGACAGAGGGAAACAAAAAGAAGGAAAGTGTGGTTTGAGACAGAATGCGAAATTAAAATCAAACAGAAAAACCAAGCAAGAGATAAATGGATATCAACTAAAGAGAACATCATCGAAACGAATATAAAGAAAAATAGAAAGCAGCGAATAATTGATGCAAGAACAAAAAAAAACTGTAAATGGAAGAGCTGTTGAACCTAGAAAAGAATAGTCAAACAGCGCCAAACTATTTGGATACTTAAAAGCTCAACAAAGAAAAGGCAAAACAGTAGTTAAAATTGACAATAGATGATGGGTAGCACAGTTCACAGAACTATATAGACGCAAAAAAAGCCTGAAAGAGGAAGTAGGCGCAATGGAGGACATTAGAGATAATGAAATAGGGATACCAACATATGATGAATATTTAGACATCATTCAAAAAATTAAACAGAAAAGAACACCCAATGAACTAATTAAATGAAATTCCCAATGAACTAATTAAAAACGGGGGGGGGGGGGAGTTATTAACAAGCATCTGTAACCTAATAGAAGAAATGCCCGAGGATTGAAAAGAAGGCAGAATTATAACAATATTTAATAAAGGAGAAGTAACAAACTGTAACAACTATAGAACAATATCACTACTGAGCACAACATACAAAATTCTAACAGCCGCCATCAAACAAAAACTCGCTCAATTCACAGAGAAAAGAATTGGGGACTACAAGCAAGGATTCAGAGAAGGCAGATCCACTACAGATGCGATCCACATAGTTACACAAACAATCGAAAAATGCCACGAACACAACATAGAACTCCACATCCTCTTCATAGACTTTAGACAAGCCTTTGACTGTATTGGAAGAAATAAATTATTTATTGAAATGAAAAATCAAGATATAATAGCAAAATTAATCAGATTAACAAAAATCACCATCGATGGAGCTCGTGCTAAAGTACTATAGCCCATTCCTCAACACAAATAGTTGCATATGCAGATGATTTAGTTCTTATGGAAAGAGACAAAGAAAGATTAAAAGAAGCAGTGACAATCCTTGCAAAAGAAGCACGGAATGGAGGTCTAGAAATTAACGAAGGAAAAACAAAATATCTACTCTGCTCGAGACGAGAAGATAACACGACGAGAGAAATAAAAATAGAAAAATACACTTTTAAAAGATTCCAACAATTTAAATATTTAGAAGTAATAGTGAATGGATAAAACAAGAGAAGTGAAGAAGTAGCGCAACGAATACTAGCAGGCAACAAAACATACTGGAGATATCATAGGCTTATGAAGGACAAGAACCTATCCAAAAATACAAAAATAAAAATATACAGAGTTGCAATCAGACAAGTAGTTACGTACGCAGCTAAGACAATGTGCCTCACGAAAAAAGATGAAGAAATATTCAGAACAAAATGACGGTATTAGATTTTGATTTGATACAGAGCAGCAACAAGCCGCATATACGTATTTCGATCTCTTTAGATCTCCTCAGTACGGTATAGCTACTACTCCATATCAAACCAAAATATTTTCCCGTCGTAGATTATAGTTATTGAAAATAAATATTTACGGACGTAACTACGCCATCGAAGAACAAAAAGAGAAATCATACGATTTCTACCTGGCGAAATCGAATTCAAATATAAGCCGCCGTGCTCCCAAAAAATTGCGAAGCAAACAGCTTGAAGAATGAATCGGCAAGGGAGTCTAAAAATTATATTCAAATGAAGTAAATAAACAAAACAAAATGACGGTATTAGATTTTGATTTGATACAGAGCAGCAACAAGCCGCATATACGCATTTCGATCTCTTTAGATCTCCTCAGTACGGTATAGCTACTACTCCATAAATATTGAGAATTTTCGAAAGAAAAATTCTGAGACGGATTGTGGGAACGATAAGAATGGACAACGGAGAAATGAGAAGAAGAATGAACCATGAACTAAGAGACATAATAAAGGGAGAAGATATAGTTTGATTTATTAAAGCACAGAGGCTAAGATGGTTGGGACACATCGAGAGAAGGAAAAACGACTTACTGATTAAGAAGATCACCAAATGGAAACCAGCAACTAAATGACCAAGGGGAAGACTCAGAGAAAGATGGGGGAACAGTTTATGAGAGATATCTAAAATTCTGGAAGTGAGAAACTGGGAGAACTATGCATATATCGAAATAAGTTGAAGAAAATTGTAACGATATCCAGGTCATACAAGAAACTGTGACAATATACAAGTGGAATGCGGAGCGATTCACCGCAATACGCGAATCAGAGAGTAAGAGCGCCAACCATTCCACCCGGAATGAAAAGCTCTGATGATGATGATGATGATTATTTAAAAATTTTAGTTTAACCCTTAACCACTGACATGCGGTATGCCATACCGAGCCGAAAATATATTTTGTTGTAAAACGTGTTTTATTAAAGATTTTTAGAACACCATCTGTGTACCTTCAAGTGGGGTTTAATTGTACCTGCTCTCAACTGCTGCAGTTTTAGTACACGTTTAGTCTTTGAGCTATGTTGACATAAAGTTTTCTTGCGGTATCAAGTACCGCATGTCAGTATTTACGTTTCTATAGTTAAAAGCAGTGTAGTGTATTCTTTTGCTGTTAGTGTGGCAGCAAGTTCATCCAGTTGTTCTAAATTTAGCCGCAAAACTGTAAAGCTTTCAGATGATGATTTTGAGGCTGTTTTATCTCAATGGGCTGACGAAGTACCTAGTGATTTAGAATATTTTAGTGATAGTGATGTTGACGATGCAAGCGAAGAAGTATGTATTGAAAGTTCACACGACACCGGAAGTGAGCAGTCGGAAAGTTCTGAAGACGAATATCATTTAAATGATAATGGTAAGTCATATTTTTATCGCAAAAATTGTTTTAAGTGGTCTACTACAGCACCCTCGAAAAATGTAAGAACTCCGTTACACAACCTTGTAACATAAATACCAGCTGTGTTTTCTTATTTCTGAGGATATAATACAAGAAATACGTATATGGACAAATAATAAATTACGTGCAATTCGTGAAAACTATAAAAGAATGAATAGACCAGAACTAAATGAAATTGATGAAATAGAACTAAAAGCCTTTTTGGGATTGCTTTTATACTCATCAGCTTTCAAATCCAATGACGAAGATATAAATTCTATATTTGCTACAGATAGCACTGGTAGAGATATATTCAGATGTGTTATGTCAAAAGAAAGATTTGCAATATTTCTAAAATGTTTACGTTTTGATAACCCTATGGATAGAGAAGAAAGAAAAAATATAGATCCAACAGCAGCCATTAGTAACATATTTAATATATTCATACCAAATTGTCAAAAACTGTATTTCGTAGGCACATGTGTTTGTATTGATGAAATGTTGGTCGGCTGTAGGGAAAGGTGTAGGTTTAAAATGTATATGCCTAATAAGCCAGTGAAATATGGCATTAAAATAATGTGCCTGACTGATGCACGAACAAGTTACTTATACAATGCCTATATATATGGAGGCAAGGACACTGACGGAACTCGGTTATCTGAGGAAGAAAAAAAGATGAATAAACCAACTCAATTTGTTCTTCGGCTTGCTAAACCTATTTATGGAACTAATCGTAATATCACAGCTAATAATTGGTTTAGTTCTATAGAATTAGTAAAGCAGTTAGAAGTAAAGAGTTAACGTATGTGGGAACCATCAAGAAAAATAAACGGGAAATCCCTTAGGAATTCCAGCCACACCGATGTATGCAAGTAAATTTAACTACTTACGGATTTACGAAAAGTTTATCCCTAATTTCCCATGTGCCAAAAAAATCGAGGGCTGTTTTACTTATTTCTTCGATGCACCATTCAATAGGTACGGATCAGATTGCTGGAAAACCAGAAATTATAGCTCATTATAATCGTACGAAAGGAGGTGTCGATACTTTAGATGCCAAATATTCTGTAAAATGTCGTTCTCGCCGATGTCCACTTACTATTTTTTACCGCATCATTGATATAGCTGCTGTTAATTCGCATGTTGTGTACCAATCACTACAAGAAGATAATATGAAAAGGCTAAACTACACAAAGGAGTTGGCGAAACAATTAGTTTTACCTCATCTACAAAGAAGACTAAAAAATCCCAGAATCCCGAGAGAATTATTATACGAATACTAGGACAAAAACGCCAAAAAGAAGCAGATTTTGAAGAAGGACGTGAGAAAAAGAAGACGTGTTACTTATGCCCAAGTGCATTAAAGCGAAAGACTTTTTATGTGTGCTTTTCTTGTGGAAAATCAGTGTGCTTACAGTGTTCATAGAACCTTGCGCCCAAAATGACTAGTTATTTTAGTGTAATTTTTGGTTATTGTCAGAATTTTGTATTCTAGTTTCTTATTAAATTTAAATCATTAGTCTGTTTCTCTTAACATTATTTTACCATTTTTTTAGTCACAAGTAGTCAATTTTTCTTGTAATTTAGTTTATAACCGATTTTGTAGTAACGTCCACCATTTTTAAAAATATTATGCATGCATTCATAATATTCTTGAAAAAGTAAAGTTTATTTTACTTGTAGCAATATATTATGCTACAGCAATGTGAAGAATCATTCCGTAGTTGATATAAAAAACAAAAACAGAGATATAAGATAAATTCATAGTAAAAACAAAGGAGAATAGGCAACGGTATGACATACCGCATGTCAGAGTCTACGTCCTGAAACATCCACGTCAGTAGTTAAGGGTTAAAATAAAAATATAACCATTTTTAACTAAATACTCCAGTTTGTTAATTTTTCTTGTTAAGTTTAGGTGGACATTTATTTTTAATCTCACAGATGAGATACACCCGAACATTTTAGGATTGGTATTGCGCCCGACCGAAGGTTAATATTGATTGCATCTTAGATGAGATGTGTGCTAATTATCGAACTACAATTATTTTATCGGTATTTATTGATAATATTTTCTTTTAGCAGATGCAAATTGATAACTTAGGTTTGTAAAATATTTTTAAATTGTTTAAACAGCAAATCGGGTATTAGTAGAAGGACAATTATATAGAAAAATGGGATTATTTTAAAATATTTGAAATCAAGTAAGCAATACATTTTTATGGATGATTATAAAAAACCCAGATGTAAAAATAGGTGCCCCAGAATGAAAAATATAACTATGGGATGATAAAATTTATTGAGTTTCTATCATTCATCCTATTAAAATGACAACAATTTTATAATACTTCGCTATACACATCTATGGTCTTTCCTTACGATAGTAATTCATCCTGTATAATAATCATAAGAAATTTAATATTTGACTTTTATTTTGAATTTGTAAAAAAATACTTTCTTTATAATAGTAAAATGGAAAAATATTGACCCTTACCTCGCCTATATGGTTTCGGAATTTGTCCAGTTTCCGCATGATTTTGCAAATTGGCAACAATATCCTCCAACATTTGTGATCTTGTTCTCTCCTGCATTCTAGCAAATTTAGGAGCTGAATAACTGGCTCGTTCTCCATTAACAATTTTCGTTAGCAACCATTCTCTGAACATCGGACCCTTATCAAAGACACTTTGTTCCCACAAATAAGGTTTATAAGCTCCCACTTCGTCCCTTGTCACCACAGATACCTCATAATGTGTCGGTTTCCGCTTAATCCGAGGGGATGTTCGAACTGAAAAATACATTTTATTGATTGCATTTCAATTTTAAGTGAACATAAAAAAGAATTATCACGATAGTATCAGAAAAAATAAATTCTCTATATGTTAAGCGCACATTCGAAAAAAAATCTCAATAGAAAAGTAATTTTAATCAATCTCACTCCATTTCACGGACAAATAAGACTCAACACTGTATGTATAATAATGGTTATAAGCAAATTTAATTATATTTAGTTATAATATTTATAAAAAAACTTAATTTTTGACTTATTTTTCAATTTTCTAAGCAACAAATAAGTATAGAAACATTTAGAAAACGCCATTTTGAAGGTTTTTATATGATTTATAAGTTTATTCTCTTCTAAAATTTGTTTAAGATGCTTCACTTTTTGCTGATAGACGAAAAAAGCTAAACATTACCGTTTTTTGACTTTAATTCGTTAATAACTAATTAAGTCCAAAAAATCGACTGCAAGAAATATATAGGTTCTTGTTATAGAGGTCCATACTATTTAAAACAACTGTCGTTTGCTTGGCAGGACGAGTGTCATGAAAACAAGCTTATTTCCTTGGGCTAATAATGCCCTTTATAAAGATCTGCATGTAATATATCTCTAAAGTGTGCAAAACTAAACAATTTTAGAAAAGCTAATATTAACAAATCCTTTATAAAGTTATTAAATAATATTAATTCTTTTTATTTTTAACTTTCTAATGCTTGTATATCTAATGCTACATAAATACATCAATATGTTTTTTTAATATATTTAGATTCTAATACAAAATAAGTGCTTACCTAATATAAAAGTATGTAAAAAATGGCTTTTTATACAAGCTGGAGAGAATGAAGTATTATCTGCTTCCAAGAAAACCACACACACAATGTCGTTGCCAATGTGCCTTTTCCTTTGAAGTTTTTGGGGGTCGTGTCTTTCATATGGCAATAAAGTACTAACATGAAACATTATCTCAATGTTTCTCCAGTTTGTATATACCGAATAAAGTCCTGTTAAATCGTGTACGGTGTCCAAACCCCCTTTGTATCTATCGAAGCCACGTAACCGGACTTTTTCGCCCATAATTTGAAGAAATTCTTCGAAAAGGAATGAGTTGTCATTATTGTCTAGGATTTCTTCTTCGGTGTACTGTCCTTCTTTTACATAAATCACTCCAACCTTAAGTTCGGATTTAATAAATACCTATAACAGTAAACAATGGTTTTAACGTAAAAAGGGTACAAGCAAAAATTAATAGATGCAAATATAATATGAGTAATAGCTATCATCAAGGTTAGGACAAAATTTATTACGTATTATTTTGGCATCTTTTAAAAATGACATTTTATTTTCTACAATAAATAAATTGATATTTGGGTCTACTACCAAGTTTTTTGTAACTCGACTTGACAGATTTTACCAATTTCACGAGGAACCATCTACAATTCAAACATAACTAGCATTATTGAAACTAGCGCACCGAGATTTCTTTAAAACCTTTGAAGTCATTCATGAGATACAAGTAACCATTTGTAAGACACTACGCTTGTGTCGTTTAATTCCACAAACATATATCGACTATCTGCCGATGTCGTGATTTTAGTCACTCGCAGTAAACAAAGAGGCTGCTGTATGACGTTAGCAGATTTTGAATTGTCTTTGGTTGGATTGTGTGGTTTATCGTTTAAACCATCTACAATTAAAGACTTGGTGTACTTCTCTGATGTAATGGGATGTAATGGGATAGTAAAGCGCAACATATAGCCACTCCTATTCAAATGTCAACCTAATCTGCTCGTATGATCTATATCACGGTCTTCTGGTATATTCTGCTATATAACTAACGAGGCTCTGACGTCCAAGTGTATACCGGAATTAGCAATCCACCATTTACTGGTCAACGGCTTAGGACAGACCAGCTAGTAAGTGCAAGGACACTCTATTGTCCTGATACTGAGAAATTTATCTCGAAGGCGGAAGAACCAAGAAAGTAATCAACGTTATCAGAATGCAGAAGCATTCTAATGCACTGCATTCTAATACAGTACACTGCATTACAGGTCCCTGATGACATCTTTAGTATAAATTATAATGGCTAGTACTATTTGCGCAAGAGCCATTATTGATTATGGTAATCAGAGACCAAAATCCGACAGGGGACGACAACCATTAGAGAGCAAGGCCTTCTTGGTCGTCAACATGCGAAACCTTTGTACAAAAAATCAAAAAAAAATACTCAACCCTCTCAGATAAAAAGGGCTACATGAAATGTAAGAAGTATATATCAGCCTGGAAAACTACATACCTAATGTTATTAAAGAGAAGGAGAGGCTAAAAAATATAGATATACTTGGAGTTATCGATGTACAATGGTCAGGAAATAGGAAGATATCAATTAATAACTACAATATCTATTACACTGGAAGAGAAAAAACTGATCATCGATACGGAGTAGCTTTCATCATAGGCAAAACTATTAGAAAATCAGTACTAGTTGTAATTCAAACCTCACAAAGAATAATAATGCTAAAAATTTAATCACAGAACTGCAATATTATTATAATCCACGTCTATGCTCCCACAGCTGATAAGACCGAAGATGAGATCGGAAAGTTTTATTCAGAATTTCACAATACAATGAACAAAATCTAGAGATATTACTTACATTTTAGGAGACTTTAATGCAAAAATTGGAGTAGGTACAGTTAAAAATATACTTGGACAGTTCGGATTAAGAACTAAAAACGAAAGAGGAGAAAGGCCATAAGAAAGGCTCATAGAATTCTGCCAAGAAAAGAATATGGTAATTACCAATACTTGGTTTCAGCTTGCTAAGAGAAGACTATATACATGGACGTCTCCTTCACATACAGAAAATCTCATTGTTAGAAACCAGATAGAATTTATACTCGTAAATAGCAGATATAAAAACTCTATAATCTCAGTTAAAACTTATCCTGGAGCAGATGTTAACTTAAACCACAATCCGTTACTTGCTGACGTGAAAATAAACTTAAAAAGAATTGAACTCAGAAAATAACAACAAAAATTAATGTAAGAATGCTAGAAAACGAAGAAATCAACAACTAATTAAAAAATAATGTGAATGTTAATATGCAAAAAACACTAACCGACAACAAACAAATTATGGATGTAAATAAAAAGTGTATAATATAAAAAACACATTTCTGACCCAGAAAGTTTAATACAATATAGGTCAGAGGCTAAAAACAGTGGACGACAGAAGAACTACTATTACAGATCTAAGAAAGAAGGAAATATAAAGGAAAAGATCTACAGAAGTATAAAGAAATTCAACAAATAATTAAGGAAAAAATCAAAATAGCTAAGGAAATCTATTTGATGAAACAAAGTAAAGAGATAAAAGAACTAGAAACAAAATATGATATGATAAATATGCACAAAAAATAAGGGAAGTGACTGAAATGGGTCGAAATAAACAGCAAGGACACATAAAAGACAAAAAAGGAGTACTACTAATAGATTTACCAGAGAAGTTAAGACGATGGGAGAAGTATAGAGAACTTTCCCAAGATGAAAGAGGTGAAATGCAGAAAATACAAGAATTAAATCCTTTAAAGAGACAGAAGATCACGATAGATAAAATTAAATAATATGCTATCAAAATCTCTAAAGAAAATAATGCAGCTGGATTAGGTGAAATATCAGTAGAAAAGTTAAAACTAGTGAAAGAGGATAACTTGGAAGTATTGGCAGATTTATTCAATAGCACCATACCACAAGAGTGGCTGAAGTCAGTATTTATAACCATCCCTAGAAAACAAACAGCAAAAGAAAGATTGGTCTGATTATCGAACACTGAGCCCAATGAGTCATACTTTAAAAGTACTGCTAAAGTAATACATAAGAGAAAATACGAAAGGCTAGAGGAGGATATTAGTGAGACGCAGTTCGGGTTCCGAAATGGAATGGGTATTCGAGAAGGACTATTTGCCATCAACATATTGATTCAGCGATGTCGGGATGTAAATGTTGATATACACTTGTGCTTCGTTGACTACGAAATAGCTTTCGATAAATTAAGACATGAAAAACTAATATCAATATTATCAAAACTAATATCAACGCTAAAAAACGAAGCACATGCTAATTTCAAAAAGACCACAAAATATACATCACCCATTGACAATCAATGGTAACATGATAGAACAAGTAGAAACATATAAAATACCAGGAAACGAATAAGAAAGATACCTGAGGAACTGTTTAAAGCAAAGGAAAATAATAATCAACACAATAACGTGCCAGAATTAAGACACGAAATAGAAATCAGTTTTCAGGATGTAAAAATAGCCATGAATTCATTCAAAAATAGAAAGTCCCCAGGACCAGACGGAATAACCAACGAACTTCTAAAACGCGGAGGAGAAAGTATAACCCTGGAGGTGACAAAACTTATACAAAAACTAATATTGCACTGCAAGATACCAGACGCATGGAGAAACATCATAATGATATTAAGATTCAAAAAAGGAGATAAAGAAGACCCCAATAATTATAGGGGTATCAATCTAACGAACACCACACTTAAGCTTACCACAAAAGTCCTAACCAACAGGATCAATAAATTAACAACTTTATCCAGATGAACAACAAGGATTCACATCCGAAAGATCATGCGTAGATGCCGTATTTGTACTAAGACAAATCACAGAAAAGGCCATCTAGTACAATAAACCAGCATATCTATGTTTTATAGAACTGACAAAGGCTTTCGATCGCATCCAAGTCGAACACGTCTTACACCTACTGTATAAAAGAAACATACCAATCAATGTTATACAAACCATCGAAAACATCTACCTCCATAATAGAACATAGGCAAAGATAAATGGAAAACTAATACAGTGTATACCAGTACAAAGCGGAGTCAGACAGGGTGACTCATTAAGTCTACTTCTCTTTAATATATTAATGGACAAAATAACACAAGCAGTACGTAAAGGTAATAGCTACAGAATGGGGAACAAAGAAATCAAAATATTATGTTATGCAGACGATGCCGCAATAATCGCCGAGAAAGAGGACGAGCTCCAAAGATTAACACATATCTTTATTACAACAGCTAAGAAATAAAATATGGTAATATCAGCATAAAAAATCAAATGTATGACAACATCTAAATACTCATTACGGTTTAAAATCAAAATTGATGGGAAAATAATAAAGCAGGAAGGAAGGTTTAAATATCTGGGAATAGATATACCTAGTTACGGATATGTTGAAAAAGAAGTACGACAACAAAGCTTAAAAGCAAATAAAGCGCCTGGACCTCTTAATGACACAATCAGAAAGAACAAACACCTAAGACAAGACACAAAAACGAGAATCTATAAAGCAGCAATTAGACCTATATTAACATACACGGCGGAGACAAGACCTGACACAGCTAAAACGAGACGACTACTAGAAACAACAGAGATGAAAATATTCCGACGAATATCAAGGAAAAGTCTGTTTGATAGAGAGAAAAGCGAAAGCATAAGAAGATCATGCAATATAGAAGACATAAATGGATGAGTGACAAAACGAAAACAAGAGTGAAACGAACACTAGAATAACAGAATAGTACGAATAGTACGAGATAAGGCACCAAATGGACGAAGAAGTACTGGCACACCAAGAAAAAGATGGTGCGATAATTTAAACAATTTAGGAGTCTAATATTGAAGATGAAACAGGATTTAAAGCCTACATACAAGAAGGAAGAAGAAGAAGAAGATATCTGTCTTTTCAAACTTTAGTTATAGAGACTCACCGCATTTTTTACCATACCAATACGTCTCCGAACTTCTGCTTCACATTTACCATCGTTAGTTATACTAGACCCGAGATAGACAAAACTGTACACTATCAGGTATTCTTGTAACATGTTAGTGAGTTTAATAGTGTAGAATCTGTCGATCATCATTATTTTTGTCTTAGTTTTATTGATTTTTAGAAAAATGTATTGCTATCGTACTAAACTCTTCGCAGGAGATTAAACATTTTTGTGTGTAGTGTCATCAAAGAAATCTTACATTGGAGATTTTTCTACTAGCCACTGTTACTCCACCGACCCATCTATCTAAAGCCATCCTCATGACATGTTCACCACGTCACGAGAATGACGTGGACAATACGCATCCTTGTCTAACACCTCTATCTTAAATTGGTTTGAAAACCACTTTGCTGGATTATCTTATGTTAGTTCGTGGATATCATGAACTTCATATGGATGTAACTCATTTTTCAAGTATTTCCAAAACTTTTTAACTGAAGTCACAATCAAGAGTTACATTTGTGCTTCAGAATGGAATTTCTATAATATCGATTCTTGTTTTTTACGCTACCAATTTCAAAAATTTAGACATAATGAATCTAAAATAATATAAATCAATTTAATGGCGGTAATGTTTGACTTGGTGATAATTGAGGTCAGCTTTTCAAAAACGTTTTTTTCCGAATGATGTATAGTAGAATGTTGACCCACAGAATGACCACCGAGATCAACCGATCTTATCTCATTAGATTTTCTTCTATGGGGTTACACAAAATTTAAGGTATACCAGGAAAATCCACAAAACATTGCTGATCTACATCAGATAGATTTACAAGAATGTAACAGCATTACTAAAGAAATGTTACAATGTGTTCGGGAAAAAACGAAAAAAAGGTTATGCTACTGTCGTCAAATGAATGGTGAACAATTTGAATAAAAAATAAATTAAAATTTTGACTTTTTATTGTTAAAATTTAATATTGTAATACTTGAATATTTTATTACTATTTAATGAGTTAATAAAGTTAATTTTTGAAATAAATTTTTTTTTAATCTTTCAAATGGAGTGATATAAGACCATCTTTGCTATTAAAAAAAAAATAAGGTGTGGTGATTATTTGATGGTGGTTTATTGAAATACCGAAATCTTGACAGCGTAAGATATTAAAACTAGATTAAAAATTGGAGTATCCGAGCAATTTTATTTAATCTTTAGAATAAACTATTTGACAGGAAGGATAAGGGTTAATCCTTTTAGTTTATAACAAATTTTTTAGAGCAATATATTCAAAGTTATCAAAACCGATTTGTTAAGAATAATTTTTTTACTTTCCATGCCTCGATAGTCAGTATACTATTTTTTTCCCAGTCAAAGTAATAATTGTTTATAATTGTATTATATTGTATGATTATCATATTGTTCCGTTTATTGTTATATACTTCTATGCATTTTTTGCTCCTATTCAGTAATTTCTTTAATAAAAGTCCCATTAAGAAACTCGTTTAGCCATTTAATTGTAGAAATAAGTATCTGATTCTTTTTTTAGAACTAACTTTTCCTATAGCTATATTAATATCATTATATTTACCTGATCCAGTTTAAGTAATTCTTCGGGTGTATCAGGAAGTTGTCCGAGAATAAGGGGTGGGTTAATGTTGACTTCCTTGCCTAAAGATCGGACTACTTCCTCTCGATTATATCGATCTGCAAATACGCAACTGGCTGGAATTAAACCGTGGACTGTATAGCTAATTGCCCTAACGAGTATTCTGCAATAAATAAAAAGTGCTTTAAATATTTTAATTTAAAAAATACTCTCGAAAATATTCATTTGTTTTTTATCCTACATACGTTTACTTAATTGTGTCAACAATGGATAAATATACTTCTAGTATACAGATTGAGCTTCACAAATAATTTTTATTTATCCCTAAAATGTTTGTTTAACCTAAAATTGAATTTTGATTGCGTAACTTTCTCTTTTTTGACATATAATCCTCTTATGGGTTTTTGGTAGTGAAATCCCTTATTAGCTCCTATTAATATCCGAAATGCTTGATTTCCTTGAAAAACAATGTCTAGCAGCGGTCGTGTTTAAGGAGCTACTTCACCAAGCGAACGGACGAAGAAAATACTACTAGGGTCCTGGCCCCTGCCTGTCGTAAGAATTGGGAAAGAATGAGAGGTGGTGAGCCATCAAATGAGGCGTCTAGACCGCACAAACGCATGCAGGATGCGACCTGTTCTATTTTAATGAATTTAAGTGCAGTAATGTGACCGTCGCTTGAGGTAACGGTAGTCGCTATGGGGTCAGCTAGAACCGAGAGGAGTCCATTAGACGTACCGGTCCCAGGTCTGCGCACTTATACAGATTGAACCAAATTAAAACGGAACATACAATTTAATACATGTCTGTTTGAACTGCATTTGAAATAGTGGACCAATATAAAACTTGGACAAAAATAAATCCATACCTGGGTATAGACATTGTATAAAATATCGTTCAACTATCTGTCTCACAACAATGTTGTTTGCGTAAGACGGGTTTGTCTAAGGAAACGATAATAGTTCAGGAAATTAAGCTCGAAAAAAGTTAAAACCTCGCAATTTTTTCGTCCTGTATGTATCCAGTTGAAATTTTAACAGAAGGTAGGTGATAGCCCAAGGATTAAAATCTATATCAAACCGAAGTGCGCTGAAGGGTTTTAGGGGTGAAAACTACCCTTAATTGTCAAAAATTATAAAATAATATATTAAACCTGAATATGGGTGAGATTTGGTTTGAATTAGTTACATAATAATTATTTTATACTCTTGAATAGAGTTCCATCATATTTCAACCCTTAAAAAGCAACACTTGTTAGAGATTAATGTAAAAAAAATTACTAATTCTAAAAAAATGATTTCGCCTTGGATCGATTTGGATAAAAATTTGGATTTAAGCTCAATTCACCCGCTGCTTTATAGTTTATGTCATGTTGACGAACCCTGATTGTTCTTAGGGGTGAAAACTACCCCTAATTGTCAAAAATTATAAAATAACATATTAAACCTGAATATGGGTAAAATTTGGTTTGAATTAATTAAATAATGATAGTTTCGTGCTTTTGAATAAAGTTCCATCATATTTTAGCCTTTAAAAAGCGACCCTTATTAGAGATTAATATAAAAAAATTAGTAATGCGAAGAAAATGATTTCACCTTGGAACGATTTCCATAAAAATTTGGAATTAAGCTCAACTAACCCTCTGCTTTATAGTTTATGTCATGCCGATGAACCCTGATTGTTCTTAGGGGTGAAAACTACCCCTAATTTTTAAAAATTTTAAAATAATATTATAAATCTTAAGATGAGTGAAATTTGGTTAGGATTAGTTAAATAGTGATTTTTATATACTTTAAAATACAAATTCATACATTTTCCACCCTTAAAAATCAATTGTTATGAGTGCTATCGGTGAAAACAATTTTTTGCCAAAATTTTGCAACTTTTCAACTTTTGAAAATCACCCTTTACAACATTGCAGTTTTTATAAACTAATTTATAAGATATAAATTGAAAAAAGTAGAATTAAATACAAAAAAATTTTTATCAACATAAAAAGGCACCATATATTCTTATACATTTACATAAATAGTTGAAAATATTTAGATTTATAGATAAATAATTATAATATTAATCTTATTCGTCATCAATTACATCTTCATCGTGATCTATGTCATCCTCATCTTCAATTATTGGCGAACTATTATTGCACCCTTCACCTGAGCACCCAGAACAAGTAGAGTTACAGTATAAACCAACTTTTCTGCACCCACATAAAACACCGCATCCTTTTTTGCATTGGCAAAAAATAATTTTCAAAAGTTCATCGAGTGCAGGTTGTTTGTTCATGCGTACGGGTAATAACAAACCATCTTTGGAATACCATCCCCAATCTGTTGCTCTGATATTTTCATTGCCAAGCCATAGACATATGAGCAGATGTTTTATTCTGTTGTATGGGATTTCAAAATTAGAACGCTTTAAAATTTCGAATGTATAACGCCCCACTAGCTAATATACCGGTTTTGTAGATTATTATGCTCCGAAATGTACTGTACTATACTAATGGAATTTTCCGGAAAAAAATTCACTGTTTTTTTTTAACGTATTTCCTTTAATTTTTAACGATAAAGTGTTTCTTCAAAAACGATTTGTTGAGGTTTTTAAGAGCTACAAGGATCTGTGAATTAAATCTTTTTGGAACCCTTGGTTTTTAAATGGGGTGAGTTTAAAGGGCTCGAAAAAGATGGTGCTTGATCGTAAATCGATGCTTTAAACGGCTATATCTCGCCAAATATTCATTGTACAACAAATCTAAATAAAGGATAATTTTAGTCATTAAAAAAGCTACAATTTGGTAATTTTTATTTTTTTCATATATTTAGTATTTTCGGGCATATTTAAAAAAAAGAAGGGTAAAAAATATGAAATTGTAAATCGTTTCTCGCTTTAAGCTGTACTTTTTCTAACACAAAGCATTTTAAATGGGTCAAACTTCTTGGACGTATTAACAATACATGTACAAAGGGAACTGCAGAAGGGTGAAGATCGATTTTAATTATGGGGGTGGTTAGGGGGTTGTTTTCATCGGTTTTTTCGTAAAAAATGAGGTATTGACCTTATTTTCATCATAACTCACTCAATTTTTGAGCTAGAGTCTTTTTTATGATATGTCTTTTTATGCTCTTTAAAAAAGGTTTTGTGAGTTTTCTTCCAAAAATGCATCATTTTCCCGATACTTATTTGACTTTGAATCTTTCAAATTTGGCATTTGAAGAAAACCGCTGAACATTGATAGGCCGTATTTTGGTTCCTATTATGTCGCAAAAACATTTTAAAAACTGAATTATATTTGTCTTTTTAAAAGCTACAAATTTGTTCTGTACAATTTTTTTGATAAAATGCACCATTTTCGAGTTATTCGCGAAAAATCGATTGAAAACGTGGATTTTTTCGTCTAGAAGTTGTTACTTTCAATCGCGAATAACTTGAAAAATATCATTTTATAAAAAAAATGTATAGCACATTTTTTGTTTAGAATCACTTTTTTAATCGAAACCTGTAGTTAAAACGTAAAAAAAAAATTCACCCCAGAGATGGGGTGGCAATCACCCCCTAGGCTTTGGCGCACTTTGGTTCGATATAGATTTTGATCCTTAGGCTATTACCTGCCTTCTGTTAAATATCAAGTCAATCCACGAGGCACGAAAAAATTTCGAGGTGAAATACTTCATTTCCTGGACTATAACTGGTTTGACAGCATAAATCGTAGATTTATGTGTAGCTTTCAATTTTTATGAGTTCAGAATCCAGCAGCCCACTCAAGTATGGGATTTTTATAACATAATTATTTGACAATCTTTTGTTGGCCAACCACCTACAGCAGAATTGAGCCGAAATACATTATATTCCTATGTTCCGAATTTATTTCGTTCAATCTGTATGTAATGACAGAAATTGCTCGCATTGCTACTGTAGTGATCCTTTCCCTATATATGGTTACGAAAGTTCCACAAGATTTATCCCACATAGAAAAAGTCCCTTGACGAAAAAACGAAGTAGTTCGAGAACATTCAAGATGACATGGAAAAATCATACAATGTGTAGTGAAGTTTGGAACGCCAGAAAAAATATATAAATAGAGGTTTTCGACAGTTTAGAACGGTAGTAGTAGTAGTATTTTAAGTTTTAAAGTTTATATGTAGTTGTAAGTTCTGTACAGTATCGTAAACAAGTTGGTGTTGAATAAAGTTATTTTCAAGAAGTGTAACATTGGTGACGACAGCGATGGGATCAAAGAAATATTTCGTAGTTTTTAATGGTCAATACAAGATAGAAGCGTAAAAAAGAAAAGGAAAAGAAACATCGGCAACAGAAAAAAGAGAAGGTAAAGCGTAGGCAAGAAGAGGAAGAGAAATGTAGGCAAGTAGAGAAAGAGGACTAGCGTTTTTAAGCATTTTCGTCTCACTGTGCGAGGGATCAATACATTTTTACAGACGCTGATTTTGCTCCAGCTGAAATGACTAAGTATTATTAGGATTTGTCAGTACCTGCACAACCTTCAACCTCAACCGGAAGAGACTCCTCAGCCTCAAAATAATGCAACAAATTCGTCAAAAAATAGAGTCTAAGGATGCTACCACAAATTATTAAATAAATGCGAAAAAAGTACAAACAGGAGACGAACGCCTAAAAAGAATTGCGAAAAGTAATGATGAAAGACCTGGTTGTTCACGAATGACTAACAGCGAAATACAATTATCTTAGTCCGTATTATCTCATGTCCATACAAAAAGAAACTTAAGTAACAAGACGTGTCATGAAAAGAAGAGGAAAAACCGCTATAACTACTGAATTACCTTACAAGAATGACTATTTAAAGTCACAACAAAACAGAGAAAACCCAGCGAAGAAATAAAGGTTACCAAAAAACTCTAAAACAAATCACAAATCAACAAATAAACAAAAGGAAGAAAGATAAAGAAAAAGAAGAATTTAAGAAGAAGGATGCTTAGGGCATCTATTGTGATTACTTTTGGACACAATTAAATTACAGAGTGTACACGCGAGACAGAAACAATCAATTTTGCTCAATCAATATTGCTCTAAAGAAAAAAATGATAAATATAAACAAGTCATCTAGAAGCATACGGGAAAACCTCATCCAGGCAAAAGCCCAGAAGACCACAGAACTAAGGTAAAACTCATAAAAGAATACAACCA